GGGCGGCCCGTCCCGGTGCGTGGCACCCCGCTGGGAGGAGGAGTTCCTCCAGTACCCGTCTGCTGGATGGACCGGTTGGATCGGTCTGTCCGCCCATAGCTCAGCCTGAGGCGGCTTCCCCTCGGCCCGTAAATGAGCACCCACCGCTTCTAGAGGTGCCAGCTGCTCTGAGAGAGAGCGCCTCGCCACAATGGTCAAGAGAAAAACGGAGAATTTCCTCGCTCAGAATTTTTACTTTTGTTCCTGGGGCTTAAGAAAGAGGGAGAAGGTATTTGTGGGGCTCTTCATGCTCCCGCCCCTTTTCACTGTCCATCTTTATAGCTGGAAGTGGTGTCCAAGCACTGGCCGTCGCTCTGGTAGTTGAGACCCATTTCATCTGTTGAACTGCTGCCACTCATTTCAGCTGAGTTTTAAAAAGATAAAAAAGACGTCGGCAAGGAGAGAAATGGCTGAATGAACAAAGAGCCTTTATTCATCCCAATGGCCTCAGTACTCTGAATGTGGGGAAAAACAGACCCTCTCTGAGACAGGGTGGGAAAGTATTTCTTGCCAGAGTGCGTTTTAAAGCCGGCTTGCAGCCATCGTCAGCAAATCTATGACAACATCTGGGCTGAAAGAGCAGGAGGACACATCAAAGCAGCTCCGGTAGATATGGAGAGTTTCAGCTAAGCAGGTTACCCAGGGTAAATGGCATTTGGCAATTTATTAGGTGTTGTTTTTAATAAGACTGCCACGGCCATGTCTAGCACTTCCAGCCACAGCGTTGTACCCCTGAATTAGAAAAGACAGACAGCTGCGTTCACTCAAACGAGTGAGGATAAGAGGGGCTGGGAGCAGGTTTGACAGAGTCCGGCATTGTCTGCCTAAATCCCCCTCTGCCTTTGAAACCTCACCCCCTTTGCTTCCCAGGTTTGGGTCTCTGATCTCCAGACTGTTTGCAATGCCGGCGAGCGGGAGGTGGCGAGCTGCTCGGCTGGTTGCTAATGAAGCGTGCTGTGGAGTCTACCACACGGCAGGAGGATTTCATAAGCTTGGCACCTGTTCCAGATGAATGGAGTTGATGGCATGGGCTGGAAATCTGTCTATCTTCAGCCCAGCTTGAAATGTCTGAGGATTATCTCTGTAAATCGCCGATTCTCCAAAGTGCAGTCAGCAAAGCTCAGCTGGGTCCAGGTGGCCTGCAGATTTAGAGTAAATCTCTACTTTTGGGCCGTGTATTTGCTGCCATGTGCACCAGCCAAGGCCAACAGTCCTTTTGAGGTGCCGATTGCTGCTCCTCTGTAAAGAATCAGAGAAGCAGAATTTAGGTCTTTTAAAACTGAAGAAAATGCTTTTACTCGTAAGCAGAGAGTAGGGTTTGTTCTAGGGGGATTGCAGAAGGTTCCCAAAGAGCTCTCACAGACACCTGGTTGAGCTGCGACAGGTACAAACAAAACTAAACTAAGTTAATTTGTCAGGTATGGCAGATGTGGCTGTCCTTCTCTTCTTCATATCTTTTTCCTTAACCTCACCAAACCACTGCCTGACTCAAGCTGAAATATTCCAGATTATTTGACAAAAAAAAATTGGGTTGGCTTTTTTTTCTGGTTCAATTTGAAGCAAGGCCCGAAACAAATTGTTTCTCTTTCACTGAGAAATCACATTTTGCCTTTAAAGTACGCAGGGGTACATTTGTTAGGGGGTGTAGAACCACTTTCAGAGCTGAAGAGTGGTTAGGGAGCCTCGTCCCTGCAGGCCCAGTCACCCAGAGCTTAGGGCACTTACTCCGTGACAGGCGATGTGGAGATCCCAGCTGCCTGAGCAGAGGTTGGAAGTAAGATCCAACACGCCCGGGGAGAGCATCCTTACTCCCGAGCTGCGGCAGTTTGGGGGAAATCTTTCCTGGTCATACAGTTGCATCAGGTGTTTCACTGTTCATTGGAGCAAGAACAATGACACTATGAGTTGTTAATTATTTAAAATAATTTAGTTGCTTAGAAAATTAATTTATCTCATTCCAATGAGTCTGTTAATTGTCTCTTTATCTCTTTGATTGCAAAGAAGTTTGTCTTGCTGATGTGGGACTATGGTATGGATGCCTTCCACAGAACTGAGGATCATCATCAGGAAACAGAGTCACCCTGGTCTCAGCATACCGTCAGTGGAGAGACAACCTTAGAACCCTTGTCAGGAGCCTAGGGCAACTGTATGCCTAATTTGGGTGCTTAAAATGAGCTGTGGAGAAATTTAGACCTTCTTGCAAGACAGCGGCGTTTTGCTCAGGCTCATGGTGCTGCACTGTGGTCTGCTGTCCCCTCGACGCTGAGAAGATGATGCTGTGTGTGAATGTGCTGCAGCAGCATCACAGCCTCAGGTGTAAGTGCTGTGAGACCCAAATTCACAAGTTCTTCCTGCTAAACATGCTCAGAAACACTGCACGTTACAAGAAGGCGAGATTGTTATTGAAAAGTTGAATGTGCCTGGAAGCCATTTGCGGGATGAGTTACTGAAGTTTAATTCTTCAGCCCTGCAGAAACTTCAGCTGTCATGAGCAGGTGAGCCTCCCGGCACCGAAGAATAAACTGGCAAAGGTTTGGAGGTTCGCTGTAGAGCAGGACTGAGAAGTTTGAACTGAATTCCCAGGCCAAACAGTCAAACTAAGTCTCTTGCCTGTGCTAAATAGGAATCTTTTTTTTGGTGGGATTTCTGGGTCCACTGCTCTCTGTTGCAACCAAGGAAAGATGCCTGGAGGAGGAGAAGAGAAAAGCTACTCAATTTTTTATTTTTACAAACCACAAGCAATGGTTTGTTTCTGACGGGTGCCTGGGCGCAGGAGGGGTCTCACAGGCACGCCGACACGGCAGGGAGGAGTGCTTTGGGGGCACAGCCAGTGCCCCCCCGAGCATGCTGCCCAGCAGGACTGGCTTACCCCACCAGCCATGGCTCATTTGGCCCTGGGAGACGTCCTCTCTTCCCAGCTTGTCCTCCTGCCTCACAGCGATTCCCACCCCCCGCTGGCCCCTGCTCACCCACCACTGCCTG